GCCCCTCCCACACCCCAAACCCCTCATCCCCAGCTCCGTTGGGTCGCGGGCATCAACCATTTCCTTCAACTGGGTCGCCAGAAAAAAAAAAAGGTTTGAAAACCACTGCTCTACATAGCACGTACAAGGTACGGAAATGTTACAGGGGACCCCTCACCTTTTTTATTGTCCAAGCTTTCTGCACTGAATTTGTAGCTAATCACATATATAATCCTATGATCGACTAACTAATGTATGGCTGCTAGATTAGATTGGAAGTTATAGGGTTTAAGGGGTAGGACCACACCACAGGGCTATAGGACTGGTGAGTGCGTATTAGGTATATAAGTAAGATAATGGGCTGCAAGGCCTAAGGCTTTAGGCGGTAAGAGAGGTGGCTTGGCCATAGACGCCTCCGGCCTGAAACAGGCGGACAATAACTAGCTAAGCTGTAACGTGTAAAATGACAGTACAAGATGTTCTGGAAAACATGCCGCAGTGTACCAGGTACTCCAGCAAACAGCCGGAGAGTAACATTTCAGGGAATGCTGTACAGTAATAACCTCAAGTTGCTATGGTAACTCACTGACATAGATGTTAATGAGAAGAAGGGGAATGAAGTGGGTAGCCTATGAGAAATGGAACACCCTAAAATTCAGGCGGCGTGGAAAATAAGGAAAAGGGGGTGAAACTCATGCACATGTATGAGTGTAGTGGGCATACGAGAAACTCAGGATAAAAGGTGTTGCCTAATCGAAGTGGGCAGAGAAGCACATCCAGAAACACCGAACGAGATAGCCACCTGCCTGTTCATCTCCCCCATCTCGGTGTTTCTGTTGGGAGGAGAGTATGAAATCATTAATGCTGGCTAGCTTATGGGTTCTCTCTACTCTCTGGATGTGTTTCAGTGTTTGTGACTTTTTACATCTGCTTAATAAAACTCTTGATGACTTGTCAGCGTATTACGTGGGGGTCACCCTTCCTCGTGTGTGCCGAACGTCTCCAATCCTCGTGATCTTCCCAAGGGTGAGTCTCACCCGGCTAATTCTGACCCGGTCGTCGTTCGGGAGCTCGAACCCTTGGCAAAGGTCACTGTGGGCTCAGATACCACTGGGGATACCAAACCATCTGTGTTATAAAGGCTACAAATCTGTATATTTCCCCTGAACAATGGCTCTGCTAACAGGACTCCCCATCCTGTGCCCTGATTTCCTCCCCCATAAGCTACTGTGCTCAGGGAGCTGGTTCACTAAGGGCTCCCGGCCCCAGGTACTCACCCTGACGTTCTTCTCCATCTCCAGCAGGACCCTCTTGTGCTGTTCTGCGATAGCCAGGGTGGCGCTGTGCACCCGCTGGTAAATCTGCTCTCCCTCCTGGGTCTGGAAGGTGTAGAGCCCTTCCCCTGCGTCACACATCCTGCTGAGCAAGAGGACATCAATGTACAGTGTCACCCGGAGTATGGTGTTCTCCCACGGCGCACAGATACGCTGTGCATGCTACACCCAGGCACACACTGACTAAGAGACGACACACCACATCCACACTTACAGCCATTCACATGGTCCCCCTGCACACACTAAGAGACACACCACATCCACACTTACAGCCATTCACATGGTCCCCCTGCACACACTGAGACACACCACATCCACACTTACAGCCATTCACATGGTCCCCCTGCACACACTAAGAGACACACCACATCCACACTTACAGCCATTCACATGGTCCCCCTGCACACACTAAGAGACGACACACCACATCCACGCTTACAGCCATTCACATGCTCCCCCTGCACACACTATTCCTACCTCTCACACACGTGCATGCTATGCACACATGCCCCCCCCTTGCACATCATGGGCATTCACATAGACCCATTGGATCCACACTCACATGCCTCCATCCCCTCACACACACCCCGCAAACGTTACTTAGGCTGGTGGAGCGTTATCGCTGAATGACATTACACCAGAAGCAACCCGACTGGGGTTTGTTTAACAAAACGACGTGGCTACATCTTGGCAAGGGATCATTTTGTATGCATTAGCCTTTGGCCTATGGGAGCAGCACAAGTTTCGCTCTAGGGACCCAAAAGAACCAGTTTTCTACAGCAGCTGGAAACACGGTGGGTCTGATTTCCAGAGGGGCTCAGCCTTCCAGCTCTTGTTCCGTTGGAGATGTAGATGCCTAGCACTAGTGGAAGCCAGGCCTACATTTCCAATGGTGGGTAGTGATTTGGGTTTCCCAGTTTGAGACACCTTAAAGGGGCCTGTTTTTCAGAGACGGGAGGATCAGCACTTCCTGAAACTCAGGTCCCTCTATGGCAGTGGTCCCTGAACTTTTTACCTCATGCCCCCTCTTACCCTGTCCATGTCCATCCTCCCCTTCTTCCCCTGGAGAAGAGATGTGGCTCAGGAGGGTGGGACGCAGATGGGCAAGGAGACTGGGGCCCGCAGCCACAGCAGGGAGCGGGACCCCAGTCACAGGGCTGGGGCCAGGAGCAGATCTGGGTGGCACTCCCTCCCCACCCCTCTGAACATTCCTCTGCACCCCGCTAGGAGGGCGCACCCCACAGTTTGGGGACCTCTGCTCTATGGCTTCTCAAGTTGGCTGTCCCCATAGTCACAGCCCCTTAGCGAGAAGTACCTCTGATCTCTAAAACCCAGAGAAATCCTGATCTGGTGATCACCTTTTTAAACTAGTCCTGGGATAACACTGAAGCCAATTTTGCCAACTGGCCCACAAAACTCCATTCAGCCGTAGGCCCCTTGTGTGCTCTAGGCTGACACGATACCACAGCTGACGGGCAGCGGTTTAAGTCTCCAAATAAATAATCCGTTCCCCCTCAATTCTAAGGAATTGGGATCCACCCATGCTAGGGGACTAAGCGAGGTGCCCTGGAATAGCGCGGTCTCATTCACAAAGCGGATGGGATGTTCCCACTGCCAGATTCTGTTGCCAAAGAAATACGCAGCTTTTTTCTTGCCGGCGCCAGTTCAAAGTCTCCAGGGCAGGGCAGACTGGAGAGGATGAGGGTTTTTCTCTCTCTATAAAAGCCTAGTGTGGTGAGTCAGCGGATGGGAAGGTCTAGTATGAAAGGAAAGCTCATGTTTCTTTCCTCTCTAGCAAGTAATTATCTGGAGGCCCTAATACAGTCAGGCCTGGCTGATCCAAGTTACTTTGCAAACGAAGTTGGCACAAACCTTCAAGGGCGGGGGGGGAACGTGGGTGGTCAGGCAACTGCACTTAGACAGCTGGAGACCCTGGTTCAAATCCTGCCACAAGTTGTAATTGACAAGCGTTCTTGTCACTAGTCTCTACTGCAAAAACCACCCCCACAGGACCCCTTCTCCTTTCCATTCTGGAGAGGCCCCGGGCTGGAACCGAGGTGCATTGGCAGAGCAGTGAGGGAATCTCACCCTCCCTCGCTTCCACAAGCACAATTATTACTCGTATTCCCCCAGCGTGTCTATAGGGATGTCTCCGGCGGCTCAGGATCCCGGCCCGCCAGAGCTCGCCCCCCATCTGCAATCAGACCGCACTGCCCCAGCACCGGAGCTCCCTGCCTGGTGCTCCCAGCAGGCCGGGCAGAAGGAGAGAGGAGCGTCCTACCGGCCGGCCTCGAAGGTGAACCGGGTGGCATCGCGCCCGTAGCGGCGCAGCGAGCACAGGGGCCAGGAGATGAGCTTCACCCGGGGGTTGTGCATGTCCCAGAGGTAGATGTTTTCATGGGTGATCTGTAGTTTACACTCCCCGTACACGTCCAGGTTGGGGCAGGGCAGCAGGAACACGTTGAACCGATCTGCGGAGGGAGACAGGCAGCTGAAACCAAGACAGGCACCATCCCTACACCCCCACCCTCTCCAGGGGGGCAAGTCCAGGGCCTCCCCATCCCATCCCCAAGGGGGGACGAGCCCAGGCCCCCGTCCCAGTGTGGACCCTCCACACGCAACCCCCACTGCCACGGTGGGACAGACCCAGGCCCCCTCCCAATGCCCCCTCGTACTCCTAAAGGGGGGGGGAGCCCAGCCCCCTCTCTCAGGGCGTTCCCCATCCCAGCTGCCTTCTGTTCCCCCAGGGCAGCCTGCCAGGCGCTGCCAGCGCTCACCTGTCTGCTCACACTGCACCCCGGGAGCCAGGAGGTCGGGCTCCCCCAGGCTGATGTCGTTGAGACGTGCTCCTAGGCACTCGATGGACAGGGTCTTGTACCACTCCTCGGCCTCCAGCTCTGCAGGGAGCCAAGAGCCGCCCGTCAGCCCCTGCCCCCACAGCGTCCCACAGGCTCCCCCAGCACAAGCCAGCTGGCGAACGCCCCGTTACACAGGATCCCCCTCCCCCAACAGAAGACCTGCCCTGCACTATGGTCACACCTTGCAGTGTGTGTCCTGCTGGCTGGAGCAGAAATGCACTACTGGGACTTCCCAGCTTGTAAGGCCAATGTGATCATAACCAGGACCATTGGACTTCCCTGAATTAAATCCTGGTTGATCTAGGGCATCAGTTAGAAAACCAGCCAATCTCGATTTAAAAATGGCCAGTGCTGGAGAATCCACCACGACCCCGGGTGAGTTGTTAATTACCCTCCCTGTTAAAACGTGGCACTTTAAGCCTGAATTTGTCTAGTGTTAACTTCCAGGTCTTGTTATATCTTTGTCTGCTAGATCAACGGGTCACCTGTTATCCAATCTGTTCACCCTGGAGCACCCCCAAGCCAACCCGCGGCTCAAACCTGCACCGCCAGAGCCCCATGCTCTACAGACTAAGCAGGCCAGGCTGCTGACGACAGCCCTCTTGCCCTTCTCGAGCCCCGTTCATCCCAAAGGATCCCAAGTGCTGTATGATGGGCCAGTTCCCAGAGCCCATGCTTAGGAGATTCTTCCTTTGTCCTCACGGGCACTTTGCCACAGGAAGGACAAAGGAGGGAGTCTGGATTGTGGCCCAGTCCATATAGTAAAGAGATCACTCGCCCAACAGTGAAATGCAGCCACCTCTGGGGCGGAACACAGCAGACATTCTGCACCAGCAGTACTACAGAGTAGTTTTTAGCCAGGGTAGTGGAAAATGCCTTCTCCAGTGGAAAATCCAGGGGAGATTTTGGCTTGGCAGAAATTACTCTGGTGTGAATTTGACGGTGACCCCAGAGTTAACACCCCTCCTCATGCGATTTCCAATAACGACAAGTGCTCAGCACCGGGGGGTTGACACCTTATTCCCAACACAGTGCCCCAAGGCGAAGACTACAATTTCAATCAATGTTTGGCAGAGGAGCCGGAAACGAGGCCATGTCACAGAAAGGGGTGAGAGTGGGGGCGCGAGGGGCTGGGCAGGGAAGCGATCCCACCCCACGCTAACTCCGCAGCAGCAGCTCCTGTCCTGCGGGGGGCGCCAGCTCCCTGCTCCGAACATTGTGACCTGTGCACACAGCACCTCTTGGGGTTTGGTGCATCCGCCCCTCCGGAGATGGAGGTGCGGAGGGCCAGGTTTGATTGGCATTGCCACCTAGCGCATGGGGTCGGGTTTGGCACATCTCCCCCTACGAGGGGCCACCACCATGCAGGCCAGGTCACAACGCCCAGAGGGGAGAGGAGCTGCCCTCACGGTGCTCACGGACTTCAATCAAAGTCACAGTTACGGGGAACACCGTGACCTCCAGGCTAGGATGGGAGCCTGGCCCATGACACCGTGCCGGGGCGTTGGCTCAGCACTGACTCAGAGGGAAGAGCATCACTTAGCCCGCCGCCAGCACCTGGGAGTCTCCCAACCGGCTCCGGCCCAGGCCCAACCCTGCCTCGCCCAGGGGAGCAAAGAGGCTCCCAGCAGCGGTGGTGGAGCTGGAAGCCAGAGAAGGCACAACGCCTCTGAAGGAGCTCTCCCTCCTTCCCCCAGCCAGGCCAGGCCAGGCTGTCAGGAACCAGGATCTCAAAGCGCTTTACCCACATGGACGGATTAACCCCCGCAGTCCCCACATGAGGGGCGGGCTGATCTCCCTCAAGCCCCCCGGCATGCCACAGCAGGCTGGCTCCCAGTCCTGCAGGCAGCTTCCCGGATTGGGTGGCAGGCTGGAACTCCTCAGCCAGCTTCCCTGGCGTTCAGAACGAAGGGATTTAATTAACGAAGGAGAATTAATCCTGCAATCAGCACATCGCCCCGGGGTTATTTCTGCTGAGCTCCGATTCTGTCCTTACGTTGCCCCCATGGTTTTGGGTCAACAGCGTTAGAGAAATTGTCCAGGGGATGGAGGCGGTTTCAGCAGCTGGCTTGGGGCGGTGGGGTCCCCCAGAAAGGCGAGGAAGGGGATTGGGTCTGTGCGGTAAACGTATTAGATGGGTGTTGCTGCTAAAAATGACCAGTTAACAATGTAGCTATTTAAATGGTCATCTTTAGCCTGTGGAGGTGACTTTGAGCCCTAAAGAGGAAGTGAGGGGATTGCACCCAGCCAGCGGCGAGTTCAGGCTCTCTGCAGACTCAGGCAGACGCCAGCCAGTCAGGCACGTTTTCAAGCTGACTTTGCAACCACAAGGCCTGGGAATGTGAAAGCGGCGATTCTAGGCCACACTGCCCTGGCAGTCACAGGGGCCTCGCTGCACAGATTGTGGCCCACAGTGCCTGTCGCCCTTTCTCCAAAGGGCTCCACACCCTTCTGAAAGCCTGGCCCGGCAAGATGGAGTGACCTGTCCACCGTTACAGAAGGAATCAGAGGCAGAGCTGGGAGGAGAACCCAGGCGTCCTGGCTGCCAGTCCCAATCTCTCTGTTTGCTTCCCCTGGCCTTTCCCCAGCCCGGCAGCTCGCGACCGTGCCAGCTCCAAGCCAAAACCCGCAGACATCCTCCTACCCGAGTCGCAGGTGAAGGTCCTGGCCGAGTCATCGGTGAAGATGATGGCCACGGCCTGCCTCTTGGTCTCTTTCGGCAATCGCGTGATGCACTTCACATTGCTGATCTCCGTGACCTGCAGAGGGAGACGCGTTCCTCAGCTGCTGCCATCTGCATTCCGCACCCCACCCACTCCCCTCCTTTTCTGCACCCAGCAACGGGGCTCCCTCAAAGTCTCCCTCCTCCGCCTGGCTCCTCTTGGTTTCTCCACCGCTCGGCACTAGATATTCAGGGGGCGCCTCTACCTTCCCCAGGG